AAAAAAAAAAGCCAGGAGCTTGTGAAAGAGTTTTTCCACATGACTACTGGAGAATGACTATCACAGAAGACTCTGTCAAAACCACAAGCTTGCAAAGAGACCACAGCAACCTCCTACCAAAAAATAAACAAAATAAAAAGTAGTTCTACAAGGACACCTGCCCAACAACTAACTGTTCAACTTCAGGTTGGCGCCACTTATTCATCATTGTGGCTAAAGACTATTGCTTCAAAATACCTGACATAATCCTTCTCATTTTCACTTTAAAAATTTTTTTGCCTTGGGCCGGGAATTTAGCTCAGTGGTTCCAGTGCCTGCCTTACCTGAGTTTGATCCCCGGCACCAAAAAAGAAAACCAAATTTTTTTGCCTCAACATCTTTGAATACACCCATAGTTTACTATGGCATGCATATTCCCACTGCAATCCTCTGCTATTCCCAAATAAATATCATTGTTCTTTGGAGAAACTGATTTTTTTATCTAGCAGACAAAGGATAGGGTTTGGAAGATTGGGAACAGGATTATGCAACTCAACCAGGTAGGCAAGATCATTCCCAAAATTTTTGCATGATTATTTATGGCTGAAAGAATAAACAGCAAAGCGAACTGTAGAGAAAAAAAATGCATAGAAAAGGTCACAGATAAGAAAGGTGAAAGAGGGCTATCGCAGCCTAGGACACTTTGAGAAAGTCTCCAGTGGATGAGACAGAACACACATGGTAGTCAGAGGATGAGCTCAAGGGGGTACAGAGTGTACCTCAAGCAACATTCTGGCATCCATGATGAACACAAAGTAACACATGCAAAAGGAAACCAAAGTAACATTCTTGTAAATTAGCACTTACTTCCTTCCGGCCTTGGGATGATGGCTCTATTAAAACTGTGGAACAGCTAGTGAGTGAGAAAGAGAAGGGAAAATGGTATTTTTAACACAACAATAAAAATGATTCAAATAGGTACACTTACGACTACGCAAAACACGGTTTCTAGAAATTTCCTACTGGTTAATGTGGCATCATAACAAATATATTTGATCTCTGTCCCTGTTCTGTGGTACAAAGTTCCAAGACTCTTGAGATGGTCTAGTAGGAATATCTCTCGTTACTCCTAAGGGGCCTCCCTGGATGGCACCCGGGATAAAAACAGGAACAGACAGCCCCAAGTCTGGGCTGGACACTCCGACATGCTGACCTCTTTGGGGGCCCTGCAGGTTAGGGCCTTAATACTCCTGGCAAGGGGATAGGAGGAACTTCCAAACTGGTGAAC